ATTATATTTTACATAATACTTCAAAACATTACCTAAATCAGTAATTGTATTAATAAGATAGCATTAAATTAAGATTCTCAACGTTATAAACAAAATTGCATATTATTGTAAAAGAAATTATTATCAATATTTTATTTGTACAGAGATAAATATAGTAAGAAGGTATAATTCTTATGTCAATCGATAAATAAGAGAAGCAATTATGAAATATCGGCAAATAATTAACAATGATTTAATGAATGCCTGGACTAGTATCCAGTCATTAATAATTAAACCGAGTATTTGATGAATAAATATTTGATGACTATATGTCATTGTCTAAAAGACCATTTAGAAGATATCTGGAATAGATGATTATAAACGATCATAAACAGATTTTACTACATTTTCTAAACATATACATCAAAAGTTTGTTTTAATAGTATCATGCTGATATTCGTTGAACAAGTGTTGAGCAGGTATTCGATACTTTGTTACATTTCTTCAGCAAGATCTGAAGAATGGTAAGGATCATAATACCAAGATGGTTCTTCGTCCATTCTTCGACTGCTTTTTTTCTGGATCAAAAACTTGAAAATCGACTTAAACGAGAAAAGAAGCTCGACGGACGTATCCGCAGAAAGGAGATCATCGATAAGGTATACTTTTGAAGAAAATATAAAGTGTGGATCGGCGCATTCGAACCGCCCAGACAGGCACGCCATTCTCGTCCAAGTGGCCCAAGTAAGTATATGTGTATATCACAGGTTGATCCCCTGAAGAGCTTCAAGGTAGACAGCAGCGTGCGCGCGAACGAGTAACGATGGTGGAGAAACGCGCTTATCTGAAATTCCGGCCCGGCTTCATAATCGAATATTCATCCCTGATCTCCCTTGGGAAGAGGAGAGAACTTTAAGCAGGGTGAAGGGAAAAAAAGGAAAGAAGAGAAACGAAGAATCGAGGAGAGATGAAAGAGGACAAAAGAGAGAAAGAAAGAGAGGAAGAAAAAAAGAAAAAAGAGAAAGAAAGAGAGCAACCAAAATGAGAGTCCGAACGAGGGGTACATTGAACCGACTCCGAAAAGAGCCGAAGCTAAAGCCGACCAAGCGGACCGATGAAGAATGAACGCTGGTTTAGCGAGAGTGCAGATTTCTTCGATGAGAGAGAGCGAAAAAGAGAGAGAGAAAGAAAGAGTGCAATAACCTCTTTTTCGCTTTCGTCTCCTCTTATTCCTCTTCTTCTTCTTCTTCTTCTTCTTCTGCTTCTTCTTCTTCTTCTTCTTCCTCATCTTCTTCGTCTTCTTCTTCTCCTTATTCTTTTTTTTCTCGTCAGTCGTTACTATAGCTACGCCCTCTAATTTCAAGCCACCCCTTCGTCCCCTCATGAAAACCTTTCCAAGAGCTTCCTCATAGTTTTATTCGAGAACCCTCGAGGGAAAAGAACGTCCATCGAGCGTTCTTCTTCACCATGGTACTCCTGCAAAGATATTCGCGACTTTCATCTTACTTTTTTTCTTTTTCTTGTGCCCCCTCTCTTAAACGACTTAATTACACGATCGCATTCGGTTATAAAAGTCATTTTGAAAATGTCAAATTTTCGATTGGTTCCGCTCTCATCATCGTTGTCGTCGTCATCACGAAGTCGTTGAACGAGCAACGAAAGGGTAGGATCCATTTTCAAGCTGACCGGCGTGCCGCCCCACCGCACCGTCCGGTTCTGAGAGAATGCGGTCTCGACATTAAGTAAACCCCTTTAGTGGTCGGCCGGTTATCTTCGATGGCGCTTTAAAAGAGGCATTTAGGCCCATTTTGGCTACCCATAGAGTACCGCAACGGCACCGGCACCGGCACCCTGGCTTTCTCCCTCTTCGGAGGCACGGCTTCACGCCCCCACCATAACGGACACGCGCGCCCTACCATTGCTGCGAGGCTCAAAGGCCCTGACTTTTACGATTCTGTTCAAGTGGTCGTAAAACTCGAGTTTATTGCCGTCATGATTTTCAAGCAAACGGCCTGCCACCTGTCGGAGCTCGACAAAAGCGTAGAACGCATGGAGCCTCTTCATTGAAGAGATCAACAAACCATGCACCACCTCGACGACCTCGTGAACCTTATCTTGAAGTGCATCAGGATTTGCTCAACTGATTTCCTTCACCATCTCTACGGATCTCAAACCATCTAGAAACTCGACTATAGCGATTAGAACTTATCAAATTTCATAAAATCTCTTAAGTACATAAAATGGAAAAGAAAATAAACAGAAGAAGCTATGTTCAAAGTAGCAATCACGAAAACAGGTGGATGATAGACCCTAAACATTCATAATGGCAAGTGAGAGGCAAGAGCTGAGAGCGAGAAAATAGCCTCGGCCGGCCCCGGAGAGAACGGCTTATGATGGGCATTACTCGGCTCGTTACCGAATAATTTACGAGGTGCGAAACGTGGGGGCGATAATCCAGCGACATTTACATCCCAATAAACACTCTTGATACTGACGTGGCACGTGCGCCGGCTACGGAGCGCCCCACGGATCTCATCCCATGCGATGCCCGACCTTTACGACGTTTTAATTGTGCGGCCGTTGTCTAATTGGTTCGTAAAGCACCAAAATGCCTCGTAAAAGGCGTTTACGATAACATTCCCGGCCATTTCCTTGGTTCTGTAGACTCCCGACCGGTTGGTAGCTGGAATTGTAACGTGCCTTTTTCTTATTTGGCTTTTCTCCCCCTCTCTAACTTTTATGTTATTTTTTGTATTGGATATTCAGATCGTCGATCGAATGATCTACTCGAAAAGGAAGAAATCGTATTGTTGATGTCGATAATCTCGAAGGTAGAAGCCATCGATGTTCGTCGTTTGGATGTTTGGATGAATCTGCTAGTGTTAGTTCGTTTCGATACTCAGAGGTGGCGGTACGCGTATTCCACTAACGGGAAGCGTGAGCTTAAAAGAGATGGCGGGAGAGGGGAAGAGTAAAAGAGTAAGTGAGTGAAAGAGAAAAAGAGAGAGACAAGAGAGAAACGTGGAACAACACGCGCGAAGCACGGCTTCGGCTCTCAGCAAGAGCCCTACGATCGTGCGTTCGTGTGTGCGTTCGGTAGTAGTCGGGTTTGCGATAGTGGTGGGGGTAAAAGAGGGCGGCACCTAACCAGTGATAGGCGTCGTTACAGGTCGGAACTACTTTCGTACGGCGTAGGTAGTTTCGCGCGGTGGCAACGCGGCATTCGTGACGAATTCAATTCTGATTGGTCCTTAAGCATAACCTCCTCCCTTACCACCTCGGTTATTCCATAGTTCCCACTACTCTTACTTTGTTTCTCTCTTCCTCTCTCGCGCTTGCAATTTTCTTAGCTACCGCGATTCCGCGTAATCTCGTCTTTTCGTTTCTTTTACATTTATTTCATACATAACTATATATAAATAAATATATTTCTATAAGGTATATATATTTTTTGTATCTTTCACAGTATTTTTTTTATTTCAAATGTCCTTTTTGTTTGTAAAGAAACGAGTTACGAATTTAATCTGGCGGCGAAACGTAGCGCAGTTAGTGAAACGCTCGTTCGAGGGCGCTGTTAGTGCGAAGGAGGAGAAGAGCGAGAGAGAGATAGAGAGAAAGAGAGAGAGAGAAAAAGAGAGATGGATTGCCAGTAGGAAAGAGCAAGTGTAGCGGGTGGTAGCGCGTGTAGGGAGAGGGTCGTTGGTGGTAGGAGTGGGGGTAGCTGCTGGGAGCGAGAGAAGTCGGTTATCGGCGGCAGAGCTGGTGGTGCCAGAATGGGAGGAGGAGGATGAAGAGGAAGAGGAGGACGAGGAGGAGGAGGTGGTGGAGGAGGGGAAGGCGCGCGCGAAAGACGAGGAGGAGCTGTACTGGTGCGCTCCTCGTCGTCGCGGCGGCACGCAGGACCCACGGAGAGGAAGAGCGCAGCGGCGGCGCGCGCTTGCGAGTGAGAGAGACAGTCAGAGGGAGAGGGAGAGCAAGAGAGAGTGTGAGAGAGACCAAGAGAAGGAACGAGGCGCGCGGTGCGGCGAGCAAGCAAGCGAACGAGCGAGCAAGCGAGAGATGGACGGCGGCGGTACAGAGTGGCGGTACACGGGGCGCGAGAAAAGCGGTAGTGTGCCGTGGACCACCGCACTGGCATACCGTGCTTCGTTACGACACTCTTCGATACGCTCTCCTACGTACTCATACTACGTCGACTTTCAAACACTTCCCGAACGCACACGGTGTCTCTTGTCTCTCCCTCGTATTCAGTCGATTTCGAATCGCGTCGTTACGACGACGAGTGCTAAGTGTAGTGTGCTGACATCATCGAGACTTACCTTACTGTTGTCGTTACTTATTAGCATCGTTTTTTTTTTGAATAAGTTTTTTGAATAAGTTTTCTCTTTTTCGTCGCGTGCCACCATAAAGAGAAAGATTGACAGAAGGAAAGAAAGATAGAAAGAAAGAGAGAGAAAGAGAGAGAAACGACCACCACCGGCCACTAACTTTTATAGCCTCGTATTATTACCCTTCCCCCGCTTTATTGCGTCGTAACTATTTAACGATCATCCTTTCGAAAGCGTTCGAAAGCACAGATTGAGTTTAGCGGGATCGCTCGGCTCCTCGACCGACGCGATGAATATCGTTCGGCGTTGTTTACCGCCTATGGCTTACTGACGTCCCGTGCGACAAATACATCCCCTCTTTTTTTCCTCGATGACTTTTACGAGACCCTAAAAGCAGTTTAATGCTACTTCTCTCGTTTAACGTCGTCTCGACGTCGTCTTGCTTTTTGGCGCGAAACTGGCCGCAACGGGCTGGTTAAGGATATCTACCGATTGAGAAAGAAAGAGATAAAGAAAAAGAGAAATAAAAGATAGTGAGATTCTCATACTTTGAATCGTCGTTTGAGTCGGTAGAGAAAAAAAGACTAAAGATAAAGTAGCGAGAACAAACGAGGGAGAGAAGTAGAGATTGGGAGAGGACAATTCTCCCGAGTGACCGTGTTAAAGTGCAAGTGATTCAAAATACCCGGGATAATGAACTCGTACTTTGAGCAGAGCCCGGGTGGCTTCTATGGAAGCCATCATCATCAAACCGGTGCTGCGAGTCAGCATCACGATCCCGCGACAGCGGCAGCCTATCGAAGCTTTCCTCTTGGGTTAGGCATGTCACCGTACGCTTCCAGTCAGCATCATCATCACACGTCCGGTACTTTGGGTATACACCCAGGAGGTGGTAGCAACACAAGACCACCACAGGATTCGCCGTACGACGCGAGCGTCGCGACGGCTTGCAAGCTTTATTCGACGACACCAGAGGCAACCGGACACACGACTTCCTCCTATTCGACGACAGCGAGCAAAGATTGCAAACAACAAGATCAAACGACGGCCCATCAGAATGGATATGCCGCGGCGATGGCCGTGGCCGCTGTCAAGGACGTTTGGCAGTCGGCGACCTCTGCTACCAACGGTCAGACCAATTCGGTTGTACGTCCTTCCGCCTGCACGCCCGAGGGCACGAGGGTCGGTACCTACGGCGGCCTCGTGGGCGGCGATCCGGCATCGAGTCCCGGCAACAACGGCACCTCGAGGTCCCTCGCCTCCACCTGGAACACCTGCAGTCTCAACTCGACCGCGAGCCAACCGGTCGCCACGCAACTCCATCAGCAACCCGCCAATCATACCTTCTACCCCTGGATGGCTATAGCAGGTGAGTCCCTCTCGTTGCCACCAGTAGCCACGTGCTCATCCTTTGACCTCTCTCAACGACAAACGAATCCTTTCAATTCCCGTTTCCCGAATAAAATGCTCTATGCGTGATGAAAATGGGACGAGATTTTTTTGCCAGCTCCATTTGTTCAATGCCGATTGAAATATGACGTGTCCGTCACCGAACGACGTCACGATAACGAATTTATACCTACTGACTCCCGGGAAGGTCGTTGGTAAAATAACTCGACTGTCGTTCTCCAGCAATATCACAAGCTCAGCGACGATGAGCACGTTTTTGCGTTACTTCGACAGAGAATGTTTCAACTCGTTTGCTAGAGTTAGATTCGTATTAGTATCGCCAGTAACTTTCTTACATTGGGACCACAACGTTGCTTTTATATCTGAAAATAGAAAAAATTATTCTCACATAAATTCTAATAGTATTAAATAGTTTAAATAGAATAAAAAAATATACAAGTGATTATATAATATTAATATTGACAACGTGATAGATATATAGTAAACAAGTAAAGAAAAATGGATAAGGCATTCATCTTAACACACCTTTTGGAACAAACTTTTATTGTACACCTTGGCTATGTCTGCTAAGAGTCGGAGAAAAAGAATAGAAATAAGGGAGAAAGTCGAAAATAGAAAGAAAGTAGAAGAAAAAAAATAGAAAAGAAAAGAAGAAATAGGTCGTGTAAACTATAGGAAGCTATATACATCCGGTAGATAGGTAGAATGGAGTCAAGTGCGTGTAAAATCGTTGGGTGCGCTGAGTAGAATGGGAGAAGGGGGAAGGCCTGGTTCAGTCGGGGGTTCAAGTGCCTTCTCGTCGTCGTACTCACCCCTCCGGAACCCCGAATTCCGGTAGTCAGCTGTTTCTAACCGTGTCTTTGTCCCACTCTTGTGTTGAGAGTCTTTTCTGACGTAAAACATTCTCTTTCTCTTTCTCACTCGTACTCTCCTCTAGTTGTTAGTAAATATATAATAAACGTAGCTTTCCAAAAGCTTCGTTTCATTTTTCGATCGCGACTCTTTCAACAGATCAGCTCTGGAGTCTCTCTCTTTCTTTTTCTTACTATATCTTCTTCTCAGTCTATCTATCTGCGGTCTCAACCCTCTCCATCTCGCACGATCTTCTCAGTCCGGTTTTAGGTCCGCCTACTTTTTTTTTTCTTTTTCTTCTTCCTCATCTTTCTCCGCGACCACAGAAAGATCCACCTCTCTTTATGCATACAAAGGTGTAAGGATTACTTTATGAGATTTCGTGACGTAGGAAACGGGCTTATTCAAGCTCGGAGAACGGTATTTTACTGAATGAATTCTGTTTTCATACCTTACTCGAGAATTACCGGGCTATCGAAAATGTGCTTCGGTTCGGACGTATATATATATACCTAGGATATATTAAGCGATGAAGTAAAGCAACCCTTTGATCTTCTCTCTTCATCTTCTTCTTCTTCTTCTTCTTCTTCTTCTTCCTTTTTCTTTTCCTTTACTTAAGAAGAAGGAGGCGTAGAACCAGGCCGAAAGTTAGTTAGTTCGTGAACTCTCATCGGTAGGGATGAACTCTCTTCTTCTTCTCTCCCTCTCTCTTTCACTTTCTTATACTTGGAACAACTTGGAAAGGGTCGATGCGAGGGCCCTCGAAGAATGCACCGATCGTAGGTGGGATCGTAGGGAATGAGAAAAAGCAATTGATCGAGGTACATACTCTTTCTTTCTTTTTTATTTTTTTTTTTTACTTCTCTTTCTCTCTCTCTCTCTCTCTCTATCTTCTCGCGCGAGAGAAACAGGTTTCATGTACTCGCGAATCGAAAGTTGTTGACTCATTTCGCACTCACCGCAAGAGGCAAGTGTTCGTTGGTTCTTCTCAGCCGGCGGTAGGTAGATAGGTATACGAGGCCGATAGGCCACTCGAACGCGAGCCTAGTGAAATTTATCGATACAGGATTGTGGATTATTTCGTCATATATTAAAGTCCGCGGCAGAGCAAATATAGAGCCATCAATGACCGCCGTCACTCGTTACCACGATCTACGATGAATAATTTTGCTTTATCGCGATGCCCGCACGATTCCAATCCATCCTTCCTTTCGACTACCGGCGTGCTGTTCTGCATTAATGTATCCCCCATGGAAAGCAGTGGCTTGTCTACAATGAAAAAGTGAGAGAGAGTAAGAGAGAGTGAGAGAGAGAGAGAGAAACAGATGATAATCATGCTTTATGACGTTGTAAGAAGAAGGAAAGTTTATCTCGCTAGTATACCCTTTCTATTGTTTAATACTGTATAAGTGTGTGAGAATTTCTAAGACACTATCCTTTTCCATTCACCCACTCGTAACGACATTATTTTTCGAGTCTATCGAGCGAATGACGTTAACGACGGACGAAAGGATTTCAATAAGATAATCGTTTTAAAAATGATGTTTTCCTTAATACGCGATAAATATGTATAATACAAATATATATAATTATTATTTACTTTTAAACGTAAACGTTGATACATTTTTCGAAAGTCTTGTGAAATCTGATCAAATAATTCCCTTTCTTTCTCTCTTTCATTGATCAATGAAATTGTCGAAGAAACAAATGTGGTAGTAAATGTTTTGTCTAGACTTTAACAAACGAAGAGAACGATCTCCTTGACGTTCTCTTTCTCATTCGTGATTCGTTACGAGTGTAACGATCTCTCGCAAAGAGTATCGCTACGAGAATCTCTGTCTATCGTATAATTTATGATGTTTGGAATAGAGAGTATCTACCTATGTAAATGTGTATTCTAAACGTGTCGCGAATGATGTACGATCGATTATGCCTCGATGTTGGGCGATCGAATGGCTCAGAAAGCCGACGGCCAACATCCTCGCTTATATCGTTTAGTTTTGTGTGTCGGTAATGCAACGATGTAAACGGTAACGAGATCGGGCGCGCGAGACTCGATTAGTCATTAATAATCCGTGCACGGTGAAAGAACCAGACTAGAGAGAGCGAGAGCGAGAGCGAGAGAGAGAGAGAGAGAAAGAGAGAGAGAGAGAAAACGATTGCACGCCGGAACCGTACTAATGACGCGTTTGCAATAAATACTCCTGCGAAATATCTTCTCGTCGAGCTTTTACTAAACGATTACCACCACTGACATTATCACGACCGCTTCATTTATAAACATTCGAGTTAGCATAATCGTGAACACTTTTGTTACGACCTTATCTGGGAACATCTCGATAAAGATACCGTAGAACATTAAACTCGAGACTACTTTTCTTTTTGAATTCCGTTTAAGTACGAGGAAAAATGTGAGGATTTTTTATTGTTATTATTTGTTTCTTTTTATTCGATTTATGATTTATGGTAAATCTTTACTTGTATCTTTATGAATGATCTATTTATGAAATTCCTTAGAGTTTTAAACGAGACAGATATACCTAAACACAGTCTTGCGAGTTTTGTTCCTTTACCGGCAGATAATTTCAAAGTCTTACCACCCGCTAGGAGATACAAAGCTTTACTTTCTTTCACAGTGGATCACTTTCTCCTGCTTTCCCAAATGCTACCGAAATTTACGACCCTTTTCATTGAGGGTTCGCCATGTCTATAGGGTAATTAGAGGGCGCGAAGGTGTAGGCTCGAATAGTATATATCCGAATGCCGCTTCGATTCACCCCTGTGGAAAAGTGGCTGTTTCGTTGGAGTGGTCCTTCGAGCATACCTTTTTAAAGGGACATTAAGGGTAGCCGATAACTCGAAAACGGGAAAGCAGACGTTTCTCGTTTTAGATTCTTAATTTTCCTTCAACGTTAGTCGTTCTCTTTTTTTTTACTCTTCCCCTACCCGATTAAACTCATAATTTAGAAAGATAGATAAGAATTATTCTTAAAAAACGTCTTTTGATTATTTATCCTTATTTCTCTTTATCTCGAAAGAAAAATTAGTTGGCCTTTGAAATGACTATATTTCTATACATAGAGTCAGCCCACGTGATTAGAATAACCAGTAGTATATATCACTCGTAGCATCTGTAGGAAAATTATACGATCGTGTTTTTAGATTTAAATGAAGAAAGTAGGAAGAGAAGAAAACGAAAGTGATTCACGTTTCTACGTCGTTGAAAGGTACAGAAACGTCGTCTAACGATCCGTTCGGTTTGTAGAAGTAAAGGAGTAAGAGGTAAAAGACGGCTAGTCTTCCCGCGCGAAAGGATCCACGTGGATATCTGGAGTCTGGTAAGCGACGAGAAAGAGAAAGAGAAAGAGAAAGAGGAGAGTAGTTGGAAACGAGTATGCCGGCTCGGCAATAGGTGTTACGTACCTCGGGGAGCAAGCTCATTCAATATAAAGCAGCTACGAACAACGCTGTAACCGTAACGTTGACGTTTACGACGACGAAATCGTGGTTTTGCTCGTTTACCCCACCTCCTTTATGCGCCTCCACGTTTACCGCTATCGCCGTTTGCGAGACTTGCTTGCGAGCCAGCCGGTAATGCAGGACCCTACCCTGCGGCACGCTCCTTCTTCTTTCGTTCCTTCTCTCCCACTCATCGACGAAGATCCTCTCTCCTTCCTTCCTKCCTTCCGTTTTCTTCGTGTGGGGTAAGAATGGTCCACCCGGTCAGAACTTCTTCGACCGAGACTCGTGTTCCGAGATACGATACTTCGTGTGGAACGATCGTGTCGACGTAAAAGCGGATGGTGTTTCTCCATGAAAGAGAACGTCGATCGTCAAGTATATTTTTTTCCTTCTTTCTCTCTTTCTCTTTCTATTTTATTTTTGTCGTATTCCGTCAATCTCTATCGAAGATTTATTACCCTTTTGTTACACTCGATCTACGAATTAGAAAGACGATATTACAAATTTTTATTTAAAACGTATCGAAGTAATCGCAAAGTTCATAAATATCTAATTAAAATCTGTTAGTAAAAATTGGCTTGACTTAAATCCTTGATTAAAAAATTTCATTTTCTTTTTCTTTTTTATTTTGTATTCTTTTCAAGG